AACTAGGTGATTGATCCCTATGTCTGGAAGGGGAGAGCTGGGAGCTAGGTTTTGAGAGAAGTGATTTAACCTCCAGTTGTGTGTAACTCAATTAGGAAGGTGTCTTCAAGTTCAAATGTAACCAAATAGGAAATCCAGACGGAGACGGCTCCTCTTGGTGTCTCACTGCTCAGCCCTCCCAAGCAGAGGCCCAGCCGCCGGGCCAGCAGGACGCTGGGCCGGGAGCAGGGCCTCCAGTGTCCACCACGGGGCAGGGCCCTGGGCTGGGAGTGAGGCCGAGGCGGTGGTCACTGCGCCTTGTATATCTTCCTTTGAGATGCTGTTACTGAAGACGAGGCTGCTGCAGGGATGCGGGGCAGCCCTGGAAATTGCACAGTTTTTTGTATCAGCAGACGGTGGATTTGGACAGTCAAGTGCCAGCTCCTCATGCGATGCCAATGTGGTCGCTTCCCATGTGGCCCTCGGTCCTCTGGGCGCGTCTCCGCCTCCAGCATCGACAACGGCCACCTCCTCTTGCTGTGTCCTCACTGTGGCCTTAGAGGTGAAGCGGCGGGCGGGGCGAGCCTGCCGTTGCAGGGAGACCTTGGCCTCGTTCTCCCCGAGCGCAGGCCCAGGCCCTGCTGGCGTCAGTCGTGGGGTGCCGAGGGGTGGGGAAGTGGCAGCAGCCGGCCTCTGTGTGCTCGGCTCACTCAGCCAAAGGCACTGGGTTCCAGAGTGAGCGCTGCCAGATGCTCCGCAGCGCTGCCCACGCCAGGGGACGGGAAGCTGGATTCTAAGGTGAGACCGATGTTATGTATGTCGCTTGCAAAAGGGACCGTCTGCTTTAAAATAGTGACGAGAACACTCCCAACAGCAGCCACTGGTGCTCCCGGCGCCAGGCTTTGCTTTAGCGGTTAATGTGGGTGAATGTGCATTTTCATGTGTCGTTTCTTCAGTCCCCATGGTGACCCTGTGAGGCGTGTACTGTTAGTGACAGTATTATTCCCACTTTGTAGGTGGGGAAGCTGAAGCAGAGAGGTTAAGTAACCTGTCCAGGGGCCCACAGGATTCAGAATTCAAATCCCCGGCCAGCTCCCGAGTCCTGCCCTTAACCACTATATACACCGCCTCTCAGAGACGTTTTACTCCCACAGACGGCCGAGGAGGCTCCCCCACCCCCCATTCCCAGGACTGGATGACAGAGCCCCTCTACCTCCCAACAGCTTCCGCTCCTCTAAACCAAAAAGGCGCGGCTCAGAGCTGTCGCCTCAGTCTTGATGGGGACAGTAAACCAGGTAGAGAACACGTGTGAGACATTTGGGCCCTAAGAACGCTATTTGATTGCCTTGAAAGGAATTGTGAGAAATCCTCACCTGTCTGAATTCAAGTAACGGACACAGAGACAGAAGTATGGAAAAAATCAGACTTTTAATAAGTTCTCAAGAGCGGGCATCTGTCCAGTTGTACAGGTACACCTGGGGCAGCAAACACAGCCTGTTTATTCAGTCCCTCCTCCGGGTCCTCATTGGCTGAGTACTA